ATTAATAAAGAAATAATGGACTTAAACAAAACTCTAGAACAATTGGATCTGACTGACATTTACAGGACATTCTACTCCAAACCCACTGAATTATACATTCTTCTCATCATCTCATGGTATATTCTCTAAGATTGACCATATCCTAGGATACAAAGTAAACCTCAAGAAATTTAAAAAAATAGAAATCATACCATCTATCTTCTCAGATCATAGTGGAATAAAAGGAGAAATCAACCCTAACAGAAACTCACATTTCTACACAAACACATGGAAATTAAACAACCTCTTCTAAATGATTATTCATAAACGAAGAAATCAAGATGGAAATAAAAATCTATGAACAAAATGACAATGGAGAGACAATGTTACAAATCCTCTGGGACACAGCTAAAGCAGTTCTGAGAGGAAAGTTTATCTACATAAGTGCCTATAACCAAAAGTCAAAAAGATCACAAATAGACAATCTAATGAAACGATCAAAAGCTGGAAAAAGAAGAACAGACCACCCCAAACCAGCAGAAGAAGTGAAATCAACAAGATCAAATCAGAACTAAACGAAATTGAAAAGAGGAAGCTATACAGGAGATTAATAAAACAAAAATGGTTCTTTGAAAAATAAACAAAATGACACGCACTGGCTAGGCTAAGAAAAGCAAAAAGAGAAATCTCTAATAAGCTCCACCAGAACAAAAAGAGATACTACAACTGATCCCAAGAGATACAAATATAATTTATGAGTACTACAAAAATCTTTATTCACACAAATTGGAAAATGTGGAGGAAATGGACAAATTTCTAGAAACACACAGCCTCTCTAGGCTCAACCAGGAAGAAATAGATTTCCTGAACAGTCCAATCTCAAGAGCTGAAATAGAAACAGCAATTAAAATCTCCCTAAAATAAAAGAGAAAAGTCCCAGTCCAGATGGTTCACACCCGAATTTTACACACTTACAAAGAAGAATAGTACTTATCTTGCAGAAACTATTCCACAACATCGAGAAGAACAGAAACCTCCCTGACACCTTTTATGAAGCAAATATTACTCTGATACCAAAACCAGGAAAGGATGCAACAAAACTTAGCTAAACTGAATCCAGACGCTTATCAAAAAAATAATCCATCACGACCAAGTGTGCTTCATCCCAGGGATGCAGGGATGGTTCAACATATGTAAATCTATAAATGCAATTCACACACAATAAACAGAAGCAAAAGCAAAGACCACTGATTCTTTCAATAGATGCAGAAAAAGCTTTTGACAAAATTCAACACCTTTCATGAAATGAACACTTAATAAAATAGGCATAAAAGGAACATACCTAAAAATGATATAAGCCATATATGACAGACCATAAGCCAGCATCATATGAATGGGAAAAATGAAAGCATTCCACTTAAACTGCAACCAGACAAGGCTGCCCACTATCTCCACTTCTATTCAACATAGTGCTGGAAGTCCTGGCTACAGCAATCAGACAGGAAAGTGGAATTAAAGGGATCCAAATAGGGGCAGAAGAGATCAAACTTTCACTGTTTGCTGATGATATGATATATTTAGAAAACCCAAAGATTCAACAAGAAACTCCTGGAACTGATCAATGAATTAGTAAAGTCTCAGATACAAATCAATACACAGAAATCAGAGGCATTCATATATGCCAACAACAATCAAATCGAGAACCAAATCAAAGACTCAATTCCCTTCACAATAGCAACAAAGAAATTAAAGTACCTAGGAATATATTTAACCAAGGAGGTAAAAGACCTCTACAGGGAGAACTATGAAACACTGAGGAAGGAAATAGTAGAGGATGTAAACAGATGGAATCCATACCATGCTCGTGGATCGGCAGACTCAATCATCATAAAATGTCTATACTACCCAAACTGATCTACAGATTCAATGCAATACCTATTAAAATCCTATCAGCATTCTTCACAGATATAGAAAAAATAATTTTACGCTTCATATGGAACCAAAGAAGACCCTGAATATCAAAAGCAATTCTAGGCCACAAAACAAATGGAGGTATTATATGCCAGATATCAAACTATACTACAAAGCTGTAGTAATTAAATCAATCTGGTATTAGCACAAAAATAGGAATATTGACCAGTGGAACAGATCTGAGAACTTGATATAAAACCACCCTCATATAGCCATCTATCTTTGACAAAGCAGACAAAAATATATGCTGGGGAAAAGAATGCCTTTTCAATAAATGGTGCTGGGAAAACTGGATAGTCACTTGTAGAAGGCTAAAGCAGGACCCGCACCTTTCACCTCTCACAAAAATCAACTCACGCTGGATAACAGACTTATAACCTACATATGAAAGTATTAGAATTCTAGAGGAAACAGGAAACACTCTCCTAGACGTCGGCCTAGGCAAAGAGTTTATGAAGAAATCCCTAAAGCAATCACAGCAGCAACAAAAATAAATAAAGTCACATGATCAAACTACAAAGCTTCTGCACAGCCAAAGAAACAGTCATGAAGAAACAGACAACCTACAGAATGGGAGAATTGTATTTTTTCCTACGTATCCGATAAAGGCTGATAACTAGAAATAACTTAGAACTCACGAAAATCAGCAAGAAAAAAATCAAATAACCCTATTAAAAAGTGGGCAAAGGACTTGAACAGAAACTTTTCTAAAGAAGACAGAAGAATGGCCAACAAACATATGAAAAAATGCTCATCATCTCTAATCATCAGGGAAATGCAAATCAAAACCACAATGAGATATCACTTAACTCCAGTGAGAATGGCCTTTATCAGAAAGTCTCCGAATAACAAATGCTGGCGTGGATGCAGATAGAGAGGAACACTCCTACACTGCTGGCGGGACTGCAAACTAGTTCAACCTCTGTGGAAAGCAATATGGAGATACCTTAAAGCGATACAAGTAGATCTACCAGTTGATCCAGCAATCCCATTGCTGGGCATCTACCCAAAGATCCAATGACACTCTACAAAAAAGACACCTGCACTCGAATGTTATAGCAGCACAATTCATAATTGCAAGGCGTGGAAACAGCCCAAGTGCCATCAATCCAAGAATGGATTAATAAAATGGGTATATTATACCATGGAGTACTATTCAGCTCTAATAAACAACGGTGATGTAGCACATCTTATATTTTCCTGGTTAGAGCTGGAACCCATACTACTAAGTGAAGTATCCCAAGAATGGAAAAACAAGCACCACTATATTCACCAGCAAACTCGGTATTAACTGAGCAGCACTAAGTGGACACATAGGTACTACAGTAATAGGGTATTGGGCAGGTGGGAGGGGGGAGGGGTGCGGTATATACATACATAATGAGTGAGATGTGCACGGTCTGGAGGATGGTCATGCTGGAAACTCAGACTTGTGGGGGAGGGGGGAAAGGGCATTTATTGAAACCTTAAAATCTGTACCCCTATAATGTGCTGCAATAAAAATAATAATAAAAAAACAATAAAAAGAAATAAAAAAGGAACAATAGCCAAAATTCTAAATCTACAAGCCTAGTTATCTATTCCCTTGGGAGTATGTGAGCCATCCCCCAAATAAGATACCTTAAACAAATAAATAAATAAACCTTAAATAAACAGTGTGATTCAATATGCTAAGACTGACTTCTGTATGTTATTGAGAGTTTAGATTGCTTATTTAAATTTAACTTATATATACTGTGGTGTTGGAGAATTAACTATCATTTATAGAGAAACTACAGTTCTACTCCCTTTTATAATGCAGAGTGTATGCTGTTTTAAGGGTTTCTTTGGTTGTCTAATTTTACTTATACAGGGTTATATATTACTTATTCCATGACAGAACGGAGTGAATATTCCTAACAGTGACATGTTCTAAGCACACCCAGAGACTGGGTATAAAGGAGACAGTATGAATATAGGGTGTGTATGTTTTGACAGAAAGAGAGATTTCAAAAAAGACAGTGCAATAATATACATGCCCAAAATAGAAACATGGAAAATCCCCTTTTCCTATAAATGTCTCTAAAACTGCTAAATCAAAAATGAAGTAAAAAGAGAGGAGGGAATGAGTTATAGATCTAAGTTTAGAGCTACAATACTTTCCAAACTCAGTGGTAACCTTCGGTAACCAAGACATTTCTGTATCTTTCACAGGCTCTGGCCCTACTCCTAACAACTACTCTATAGAAACTGCTCACTCAATAGATAGTGTCATGGGAACATATGTGTATTTACAAAGGAGTCCAATCACTTACACTGGCAGATGAAGATCATTCAAATTCAGAGAAAAGCTTGATTCAGGGCCTTCAAAATACTGATGTTAATTAAAAAGTAGCCTTTACTAATGAAAAATCAATAAATAAAATTTGCTTCAAAAGTTTAAAGTTAGCAAGCAGCAAATAAGAAAGTAAAATTTTAAAACTTAAATTATTTATTCCTTATATTTTAATCTAATTTTTATTCTCTATAGGCTGTATATTTTGGAGGTTGAAATCTCTTAAGGTTAATCATACAGAATATTTAGGAAAAAAATCCCAAGAGAACCTTTATAAATATTTGATAACAATGAGATGCTTTAAAATTCATTGGGAAAGCAAGTTTATACAACTCTACAAAGTTGCAGGTATTTTAAAACTTGGGGCCTAATTTTAATAGAAACCGTAACATTGCCAGGATTATAATGTTCTTTGTAGCTAACTTGAAACTAAATGTCAAAAGTAGGTTTTAAATATAAATCTTTAATCAATGCTGCTTCTAATCTCAAAAATTTAGCATAAAAAGACATGAAAAATATTAAAATATAGACCTCTTAGGCAATATATGGTTCCTGTTTTTATCTTTGAAAGATGCAAGGACATACTTCCTCTTTGTTCACATATTGCTTGTAACAGAGTTGGTCATCTGTCTGATCTACAGTATAGAGATTAATCAGTGGCTTTGTTGTCTCATGTTTTAATATTCATCAAATATATTTCTCATTTTCTCTGCATTTACATTCTTATTTCACATACCATTTGTAATAATTACATTCAATATTCCTTGTGGAGGACAAAAAGTGTGTTTACTGTTTTTCATCTGTGATTTTGTTTCTTCTGTTTCTTCAATTTCTTCCCGTGCACTTCTATCAGGAGTGATGAGGATCTGAGGTAAGACAAGTAAGTCTTTTAGGAACTATACTTTTCATATAATTTTATAAATGTCCTAAGCCACCAAAAATCATAATTAAATCCACATTATTACTGTCAACATGGGGAGTCACACATACAAAAGAAGATTCATGCTCTACATCAATAGGTATTAGGGCATGTTGTAGTAGTGCATTTTGCAAGGCAACTTGATTTAGTCTTTTAATAGACTTGAGTCCCTACCATTTTCATTTACCATTTATGAATAAGTGAGCCTGTAGTGTAGGCATAATAATTAAAAGTGTCCATCCTCTGTTTACTTCCCAAAGATTATTCACCAAAACTTTTATCAAATGAAAATACAACAAAATTGGAAAGGAAGTGAAAGATAACTTTATTTGGGCTCATCTCATTTGCAAAATTGTTTAACTGTCACCCCTGTAATCCTAGCTCTCTGGGAGGCCACAGCAGGAGGATTGCGCGAGGTCAGGAGTTCGAAACCAACCTAAGCAAGAGCAAGACGTCATCTCTACTATAAATAGAAAGAAATTAATTGGCCAACTAATATATATAGAAAAAATTATCTGGGCATGGTGGCGCATGCCTGTAGTCCCAGCTACTCAGGAGGCTGAGGCAGCAGGATTGCTTGAGCTCAGGAGATTGAGGTTGCTGTGAGCTAGGCTAATGCCACAACACTCACTCTAGCCTGGGCAACAAAGTAAGACTCTGTCTCAAAAAAAAACAAAACAAAATTGTATAACTGAAAGAAATATGAGAAAACATAGGTCACACGTTCAGAAGTGCAGGCATGCTCTGACTAATACTTAGAGATATCACAGTTATATAGCTCAAGGGTCTACCTCAATCTTCTATGCTTTCTAATGGTAGGTAGTCTAATTATGAGACTGCTGATTTGGAAAAAAGGAATCCTTTGGTTTGTGAGCATATTAATAAGCTTCTCCCAGTGTAAAAAACAAAACATAAAGGGAAACCTTCATATACTTTTAGTAGGAGTATAAATTACTACAGTCACTATGGAGAAGTTCCTCAAAGAACTAAAAATAGAACTACCATATGACCCAGCGATCCCACTCCTAGGTACCTATCCAAAAGAAAGGAATTTAGTATATTGAAATGATATCTGTACTCCCATGTCTATTGCAGCATATTCACAATAGCGAAGATTTGGTACCAACCTAAGAGTCCATCAATAGATGAATAAAGAAAATGTGTTACATATACACAACGGAATATTATACAGTCATAAAAAGAATGAAATCTTGCCATTTGTAACAAGATGGATGGAACTAGACAACAGTATGTTAAGTGAAATAAGCCAAGCACAGAAAGACAGATCTCGCATGTTCTTACTCATACGTGGGAGCTAAATACTAAAAACAATTAATCTCATGGAGACAGGGAATAGAATGAAGGTTACCAGAGGCTGGGAAGGGTAGCAGGGAGTGGGAGATAAAGTGGGAATGGTTAATGGGTACAAAAATATAGACAGAAAGAATGAACAATGAATAATATTTGATAGCACAACAAAATGACTATCATCAACAATAAGTTAGGATGTACTTTTAAATAACTCAAAGAGTAGAATTGGAATGTTCTTAACACAAAGAATGGTAAGTGTCTGAGGGATGGGTACCCAATTACCCTGATTTGATTAATTCACATGTATGCCTATATCAAAATATCACAGGTACCCTATAAAGATATATAACTATTATGTACCCATAATGATTAAAAATTTAAAATCTTAAAAACATATTTAAAAATAACTTAAAACATTTAAAAACTGAGCGCTTTATTTCTCCTGAAGAGGTCTCAACCTGCAGTGGCATCCTGACAGGCTGGCCAACACTACTCCAGCCATAGCCAGGACCACGTTTTTCAAAGGAGTGACAAAAGGAGATGAGATTTTTACACTGAGCAAGGTGATTAAATATACATATTTAACAAGTGAGAGGACTTATAATATTTATGAAGAGAAAACACGCATATGTAATTGTGCTTTACATCTCCTATCCTGTCATGGCTGGGAATTCAATTTTAAGGCCTTTTTTTGGGGTTCCCTTGGCCAAGAGGGATCGGTTCAGTTAGTGAGGGGCTTAGGATTTTATTTTTGGTTCACATCTACTTATGTACTTCCTTTGGCATTTATAAGAACAATAAGAACTTTTCCTCATTTAAAAAAAAAAAAACAAAACTTAAAAATACATCACACAATAAATACCAGGAATGTAGACTTACTCGAATACGAGATTCCAGAATTTTGCTTTACGTTGTCACGAGCATACCTTTGATAGTGGATTGATATATACTTAATACTTTGAAATGCAGTGGAGAGAGACCCAATAATTGTCACAGGAAACAGTAAGCAAAGCCAGACGACCGGGAAGGACAGATTGAATTTAATGACTGGGAGACAAAGACACCACCAGCAGCTGATGCTGAAGACTGCTGTAGCTCTTTAAAGTCATAAGTTCTTCGAATCTGATCTGATTACTGTTGAGTTCTGGTGTAGAAGCTTTTCTGGAATTTCTGTACATATAAAGGGTTCAGCACAACAGTGAATTTTCATAGGTGGTGAGAAGGTTATACAGAGTAAAATATATTGTTTTATTATTTCAGAATTATATACATTGACATAGACTAGGATGACTTTCACAAATAAGTAATTGAATCTATGGTGAATATTTAAAAATTTTTAGAAAGAACTTTTGCACTTAAGAGCTGTAGAAATTCTATGTTTAATAAGTAATTTAATCTAATTATTAAGCAATTATTATCTTAGTAACTACTAGTCAACAAAAGGTCTAATGACTTACTCTATCCCCTGAAGAATAAAAAACTCACATCTCTTCAAAACCAGCATAAATACTATAATGAGATTGAGACTCATCTTGACTTAGTTTTAAAATTACTGAGTTTTTCCTGAATGTGCAAGAATAATACCACATTTCTCCTTATTCCTAAAATCTGCCACTTTCTCATTCTAAACACTTGTAGTCTCCTCTTGTTCATTTGTTCATTTTTCTGCTCATTTCTGGGACCCATTACAAACAGCTAATTTCAAGCTTACACTTTATCATTTTTAACAGATATATAAGGAACTAATGGTAAATTTTGAAATAATTTAAGATAAGACTCATTTTTTATATATTAACT